TGGCACTTTGGGACATGGTTTAGTGGACATAGTGGTGTTGGACTGATGAGCTTAGAGGTCCTTTCCAATCTTAATGATTCCTAGTTTTTAATTTCATTAAAAACAATCCAGCCACCAAGCCAGGAAACAGGACATTGCTACTCTACCCTTAATTGGTTTAGTTGTGGACTTGGTAAGGTTAGGTTAATGGTTTGACTGGATGATCTTAAAGGTCTTTTCCAACCTAAACGATTCTATGATGCTAGGAACTGATATATGAGATTATAGATTTAATGTGTTTAAGAATCACAGGATCTGCACCTCTGAGGTTTCAACATAAGCAAGGCAGTTGAGGTCCCTGCCTTTGGAATTTGCTCCTTCTGGCACTCTGACAGAGAGCACTTTGTTGGCCTTCAGAACATATTGCAAGGCCAATCTTTTCCATCAAGGTTTGGCTGCATAGCTCTAAATAAAGACTTATTTTCCTAATAATTGATTTGTTTTCTGATGGATAGTTAATTGGAATAATACTGACCATTGCGGGCATTTATAAATTGAAGCATTCTTTTACGTACGATGCACCCAGTGTCACAGTAGTGGGTAGATTATAAATAATTTTAAAAAACCCACGCAGATTATAAGGGAATTCAAAACGTGGCACATCTATAGCTGTACTATTGACTGTAAACTGTTCATTTAAAAGCAGAAGTAGCAAAACACACAAATTATTCTTTGATATTTACATTACTTTGGTTTCTACGACCACACATACATATGCACATAGCTGATTGGGGATGAATTACTGTCTTTGCATTTTATGTGACCTGCAGAAATATGCAGTATCCCCCTGCCCCCCAAATGAATGGACTGTGTTTCTCAAGATTACGAAATAATATCTCAGATTAGAAAAGGAGAAGACTGTTCAAAGATGAAAGGGACAGCTTGTTTTAACAGCCTGATTTTATTCTTAGGAAAACAACCTATCTAAACATTAGCTACACATGAGGAGATATCTGTTTTAAATACTATAGATCTGTTTCATGATTTTCCCTGAAAGCTGGGAAGATTAATGGGTATTTGCAAATAGTATCTTCTGTAGAAATTCAGATCCCCTTTGTCTGTCCTAAACTGCTGGATAATATGACAAGCCAAATTTTAAAGAAGCAGAGTCTGATTAACTGAGAGGAAAACTAACAAATATTGCAAATATTCTGAAGGGATATCTCTGATTTTGGTCAACTGCATTCCATAATTTAAGGATAGGATAAGGAAAAGAAGATTAATGTTGAGTAACATCCTGTTGCCATTAGCAAAGGCTGAATTCTTCAGTAACCTAAACTAAGTAGAAATCTAATAAAGTTCAGCAGCTAGCCAGCAAATATTATCTTTGGATTCATCCAAAGCTTTTTTGTTTAAGAGGAAAAAAACCTTTTCATGGACATGATGAGTGACAGCAACGACTGAGGAATTTGGGAACTTTCTTAAAATGCTCCTTGTGTCCTGTTTTCATTCTGGACTTATGTAGGCAGTTTTCTTTGGAAATGAGTGAAAACTTTATTTACATACAACAGATAACCAGTTTCTTTGAATGACACCAGTAACCATAAACACTTCTCCTCCCTTGTCTTCTTTAAAATTCAGGGAAGCATGCCTACACAAGATGTTACATTTTTTTCCCCAAAATGTGAAATATCAAATGCTTTAAATGACTGTGAATCTATTAATGTTACAATAATGTCTATTAAGGTTTTAAATTTTGATTTATGTTGACTTGTATGCTCTGGGCAACTCTAAATTTGACTCTGCTTCATTTTAATATATGGCTAATTTACTAGTCCTAAAAGAAACTGTATTTTGGCATAAGGTGATTTAATGTTTTCCCCTCCTTGTCCTTCTTTTTCAGTGCCCTTTACAATGGACTTGAGCCATGTTGGATGGAAACTTCTCCATTGTATGTGGTTCCGTGGTTGAAACAATTTTGTGCTTAGTTTCAAGCAGCTGTAATATAAATAGAAGCCACACCACTTTTTTATGTGGGATGATGTATTTTTATAACTTAAAGGATGATGATATATTTGAAGAACAAATTAGTCATTCTGCCTCAAGAACTAGTCTGTCTGAGGTATGCCACAAAATTGTTTTCAAATTGTTTACCTGGTGTGGAGCCTACTGGGAGTAAAAATAGATTCTTGATTTAGGCTTGGTAATTCCTGTATTACAGTTTGGCTTATTCTGTTGCTTAACTGATTACCATGGAGCTGTGCTGGTACAGAGCAGCAATACAGTCCCCAATAGTTTATGTCAGAGTCTATTGTCATGGTTTATTGCTTCAGTATATTAAAAGAAGTACATGCAAGTTGCAGCTGATAATGCGGCTCTTGATCAGACCTGCTGCCTAGCTATGAAGACATAAAAGATGCTGTTTAGCATTTATATAGCACTTTCCAAAGAATCATAGAATTGTAGAATGGTTTGGGTTAGAACAGATCTTTTAAAGATCATCTAGTCCAACCCCTCCTGCCATGGGCAGGGACATCTTTCACTAGATCAGGTTGCTCAAAGCCCTGTCCAACCTGACCCTGAACACTGCCAGTGATGGGGCATCCGCAACTTCTCTGGACAACCTGTTCTTGTGTCTTACCACCCTCATTGTAAAAAATTTCTTCCTTATATCCAATCTAAATCTGCCCTCTTTCAGTTAAAACCATTACCCCTTGTCCTATCACAACAGACCCTACTAAAACCTCTGTCCCCATCTTTTTTATAAGCCCCCTTTAAGTATTGAAAGGCCACAATAAGGTCTCCCCGGAGCCTTCTCTTCTCCAGGCTGAACAACCCCAACTCTCTCAGCCTGGCCTCATAGGAGAGGTGCTCCAGCCCTCGGATCATTTTTGTGGCCCTCCTCTGGACCCGCTCCAACAGGTCCATGTCTTTCTTGTACTGGGGACCCCAGAGCTGGACGCAATACTCCAGGTGAGGTCTCACCAGAGCGGAGTAGAGGGGGAGAATCGCCCAGGATATGGTTTGATGTAGCCCAGGATACAGTTGGCTTTCTGGGTGGCGAGCGCACATTGCTGGCTCAAGTCCAGCTTTTCATCCACCAGTACCCCCAAGTCCTCTCTGCAGTGCTGCTCTCAATCCATTCATCCCTCAGTCTCTACTAATATTGGGGAACTGCTGTGACCCAAGTGCAGAACCCTGACATCCAGGGCCCTCTGGATGGCATCCCATCCCTCTAGCATATTAACTGCACCACTCAGCTTGGTGTCTTCTGCAAACTTGCCAAGGGTGCACTCAATTTCACTATCCACGCCATTGATGAAGATATTAAACAGTATTGGTCTCAGTACAGACCCCTGAGGGACACCACTTGTTACTGTTTTCCATGTGGACATTGAGCTGTTGACTGTAACTATGGACGCAGCCATCTGGCCAATTTCTTATCCATCTGATAGTCCACCCATCAAATCCGTATCTCTCCAATTTAGAGGCACAACTTTTATGTTCTTAGAGCCTTTTACAAAAATACCACACTTTCAGAAGTTATTTAAAGGATCAATAAAATAAACTTCACATTTTGTAAGCATGGAAATGGAAACACAAAGATGATTTCCAAAGCCTGAAATGTAGCAAGGCCGGGGCAGAATTCTGCATCCCCACACTTCAACTATCAGGCCATGTAAGATAAAGTAAGTGAAACACATCCATTTGCAACCTTTGACACAAGTTTTCTAGTATGTTAAACATATTTCAGGTGTTTCCTAGATGTGAAAGGTATTTTTGTGAATTGCAGCACATTAAAAAAATTATTGTGTAATTAATTTCTCACAAGAACAACAAGAACTATTGTCTTAGTATTTTCTAACATCCTCAGGGCAAAGATTGTCTATGACAGTGCTTTTTATTATTTCCATGATATTTTATACAGATGTAACTGAAAGGAAACAATACAAAGCCTGGTAATTCACTGAGTCCAGTTATCAGTTTACTGGTAGAAACACACCAACACTTGGACTACTCAATTATATCTGAGATAATCTCATCTAAATATGAAAAACCTATAAAACATGTTGATAAGTTCTTGAATACTTGTAGTTCAGGATATGTCTGCATAGTTTTCCAGCCAAATTCTTTGGGGAAAATTTTGAGCTTAAAATTATAGAATAAGATTCTCTATTTTACAAACAGAAGTCTCCTACCTGAGGCTGCTGAGTGGCAGTGGGTCTCTGAGGAGATGGTATAGGAGTTTTGGACAACATTTGGTTCATTTTGCTTACGACTAGATCAGTTATATGTTGCCTGTCTTCAGTCTGATGCTCACCAATCAGAGGCATTGCACAGTCCATGACCTGTAAAATAAAACAATACATCAGCTATTGATATGGCACCAAAGTAAACTTATTCCACATCTGTGTAGAATGTCAGGCCATCTGTTTATTTAATTGTTTTTAACAAAAGTCAAACAAGATCTGTAGAAATGGAATATGTTATATCAGAAAAAAAGCCCGAGTGCAGGATAGGGGTCAGCAGAGCAAGAGAACAGCAACTTTACAATGTCATCCCTTTCCAATCTTCATACAATATACAGGTTCAGTATGATACTTGAGCATCCACTCTCTGGAGAACATGACCCCTATGCCCCTTATGGGAAGTACATAGCAGGTACAGAAAATGAGGTTTCTTAGGCTATTCAGTGGTCTGCCAAAAATCTGAAGGAATTGTCTGTGCTTCTGTCTAAGCTACATTTCTGAAGATTTTCTCATGTGTTTTTGTGGCTCATACCATGTTCATCATCTGAATTAGAACATGGAAATGCAAGCTAAAACTTCAGCTTCCTAGCTATTTGTTGAATTTCTGCTAGGGAAGGCTGGATCCTTATTGATTAATTAAAAATTTTAAATAAGACCTTGTTAATATTGATATGCTTTTTTGAAAAGTAGTCTGGCTGCAGTGCAGCTTATGCAAAAAAGAAGTAAGAATTTCTACAAAGAAAGCAGGTTACCAGAGAGACAAATAAAAATGTGCACATTTCCATTCTAAATGTGGCAGGTTAATAGTGTTCAGCAATTATTTAATTCAGCTATTTAGATGGATAAAACTAATACCGAATTCAGTGCACTTCAGTGGATTATTAGTTATTTCTACAGTGTACCTACTTTTGCCACGTGTGTGTTTCAGAGGAAATAAAAGTGTAACATACTAACCTCAACTACTATTCACAATGGCGCTGGACATTCTTATTTCAACAACAAAAGGATTTAATTAACTTTTGAGAAACTGCAATCCTTTTTCAATATGCATCAAAGCTATTCAGAAAAAGCTGAAGGCATGTCACCTGCAGCCCTGCATTCTGGTGTTTCTCATAGGTATGGATCACAAGTGACTGAGGCCCACAATACAAACAACAGTATTAATAATTAATAAGAGGCTGTCAGGGATAAAAAAGTTGGACTACATTAGCAGAAACATACTGTATGGATGTCATTGTATCTGACCCAGTTAGAGTCTTTGTACAGAGTTGTATCCATCTAGCTTTCAGTCTGTGAAAAGCCGTCCAGCTGCCAAATCTCACGCAAGATTTCTGACTAGCATAGGCAAATCATGCACTAGACACAATAAGCTGTGCTGGTAAGCGAGAAGGTGATAGTGGGTGAACAAAAGAATCATTAGTAAGGGATCCTCATGGGTTTTGCACAACTGCAGAAGGATCAGTGAGATTTATGGGGATGTTTTAGTTCTTCTGGAAGTGCACCTTCCTGTATCTCTTTGGCTTCTGAGATTCCTTCTCTATTGCAGGTAAATGGAACAAGACTGAAAAGGTTCAACAGAGTCAAAAGAGTGCTGGAGCACTCTTGCTGCCACAGGCAATTGTAAGTGCTAATGGTTAGAGAAAAACCTTAAACTTCCCTCGCTCCTATCCAATCTCTAGCAAAAGGATTAGAAAGAGAGCTCTGATATTGGGAGGCAAGGCTATTTTGGCTAGAGTTTTTTTTATTTTGGCTAAGTGGAACATAAACAATGTTTTTAATTAATTGAGAGAAAGGTATTGAACCAATACGAGTTCGTATTTCTGAATGGGTAAAATGTAGTCTTGCTGGTTGTGTGGCTCTTGAAAGACAAAATTTTTGTGGATTTACTTTAGCATTAATGTCTGCTGAGTTATTGCTATTCCTTAAAATTGTTCTAATGCTTAAAGATCCACTTCATTTTTATCATGAGCTTTTTCTTGCAGGAGTAATATATATAATGTCTGGAGGGAGGAGGCAACCATATGTGCCAGATACTTTGGCCAGGACTTTAAAGTGTTAATAATGACTGAATGTTAGAATGTCTTGATGTCAGTGTGAAGGTCATTGGATGTTTGACTGTCTGCTGCAAAACATCTGATTTTCTGAGAGGGAGTTATGTCAGCAGTCTAAAAATCTGCCCCCCCTTCCCCCCCCAGCCTTGAAGGCAGGCAGTAATAAGTTATTTTTTAAACTACTGCCCCTCTCATTATCCAGGTGTATATTAACCCCCTCGTACTGCACAACAGAAGCAACAGTTCTGTTTCATAAGTGTGCAAAGAAAACCTCACTTTGTTTGCAATCTACTTACATTAAAAAAAATATTTGGAATGACTGTGAAATAAATTGCCTAAAATATCTTGCCAAAGGATTAGACAGGATTAAGATCTGGAGGACTGGGTTCTGACTGAATTTCTATTTTTAAATACTTCTGTAACTGCAAATTTACATATAAAGTTTCTTTAGGAGATAGTGCCATGTTGTTTACCAGAACATGTGGGAAAACTGTAGTTCTATGGCCACGGGTAAAAAAAGAAGCCTTGAGCATGTCCACTTCAGTAGAGAAGATCTTGCATTTCGTGAAGACAGTATTTTCAAGCATAGATGCCCTATTCACATATTGAGGCAGATTCAAACACATATGACATTAGAAACAATAGCCATTTGCCCTTGACATTCTTTTGTCACTTGGACAGGTTTTGGTGTTGTTAAAAACCCTTTCGGTTGTTGCCACACTTGAACAAATACTGTTGGCCAAAGATATGCTGAACCTAATGCTGAGAAGTACTGAGTCTTGAATGATGATAAGCTATAATGTGCTCTGGTGCTTTCCTGAACTACAAAGATAGTAGCCAAATTGGTAAAAGCAGAAAGTAAGGCATCAGATTATCGAGAAAACTACTGATCCTAAAGTGAAATGTCACTAAATAGCTGCATGAGTAAAAGATTACCAAAGCTTAAAAGCTGTTCAGTTGCAGGACACTGTTCAGTTTAATAACTGATTGGACTTGACAGGCAATGTGGTGGGGTAGGAGTCGTAGGTGGCAGAAGGCTGAAGAGCACAGCATTTACACCCAGCTTTGCATGTGGCTGCTAAGAGGAGGCTTAGCTTCCCTCACGTTATTGCTGCTGTGACTCTCAAGGATAGATGCTAATCTTACTAAGAGATCACTTCTGCTATTCCTTGCCAAAGAAGCTAAGATCAAGGTGAATATTTTACAGGGTGGGTTTTGTTGGTTTTTTTTTTCTTTAAGAAAATGCAGTCTATATTCCTTCCCAGTAAAATAATTATCAGTTATCAAAAATCAGTAATGTTTTATATAACAGTATCTTAACAATTAAAAAATATTTTGGGTAACTAACAGTTGTTAAAACCTGTGAATAAGTAACAGGAATGTCATGCTGGCATTTCCCCCACTTTAGAGGACTTGACAAAATTTAAACACACACAAAGCATCCTGTTTATAAATAGTCTATTTACAGCCTGTACTAGTTTTAAAATATCATTTAAACACAGCCAGGTTTTTTTTTTTTTTTCAGTACCTAGTTCAGCTATTTAAAATATTGGAGCGTCCCACTAAGAGGATTTCTTAGAAAAAAAGACATCTGTAATTTATAAAGTCAAATATATTACTTTTGCAGATGCCAGTAAAAACATGGGTTGCTATGAATTACAGTCACTTAATTGGTATCACTTCTATCTTTAATTTATATGCATTTCAGTAACCAATTCTATGAGATGAATTTCTCTTATCACCCAGAAACCATATTCTGAAATGCACTTAACACATCTTTATATTAAACTATAAGAGGCTGAGTGTATGTATTAGCAGTAGTAACAGAAACTACAGCAGCACATTTAAGCCAGCACAATACCGTGACAAAACAAAACACTGCCCTTTCAGTGACATGACCTTTTAGTGATATGACGTTTTAGTGAGTATTTTAGTCTGTGCCCTCTGCTGCTAGTGTGGATAAGGCAAGTATTTGAAATTTGGGCTGCAAGACTGAGGCTGGCAAGAAAGAGAAGAGACATTCTGTTTAACTCTGATGAATATGAAAGGAAATGGGATGGGATTAACAAAGGAGCCAGTGCAACCTTAAGATATCAGTAATTGCAAAGGGATCATCGCATTTGAAGGAGAAACTACTCTTGACTGCCATTGTCCAGACATAGTTCTCCATTACAGAATATGTTTACCACCAAAGGATTAAGAAAGGTCTCTTGCTTAGAGCTTTATGAAGACCCAGCCCAGATGGTGCTGGGAAAGACAGAGTTGTGGAGGTTAAAGGAAGGGCGAAGGTAAAGAACTCTGTTGATGCAGTGGAAGAACAAGGTGTTTGTCAGCATGCTGAAATACAAGAGGAATATGAAGGAACAGATAGAGGGCTTGCAAGTCAGAAGTGCCCAAGGAATCTGACAGAGTAGTGACATATGGATTTCATATAGAAAAAGACATAGGAATTACAGGAGAAGATACGGTAATTGGTAAGTGCAGAGGGAGGAGGAATTAATTTCATTGCGAATCTGGGTAAATTTGAAGGTCCATGCTTGAGAGTCTGAGGACTGAGAAAAAAACATTTACTTTGGTCTGTGAATAAGAAAAGCTGGATTGTGTTGTTGCTATGTTATGAATGTGTTATTCTTCTGTGTTGTTTTTGTGGGACCTGGATGTCTCCGATTGTGGTGAAAATTTTGACTGTAAAGGCAGAGGCTGATACAGATTTTCATTTAAGAGTTCTAAGTCTGGGGAAAGTAACTGACATTAAGAAAAACTAATAGTTTGAGGAGGTCATTTAAGACTGACTGGGATGTAAGAAGAGACGGTGTGATTTCTGAGAAGTAAGGGAGTGACTGGATATGAAGCAATCATGGGGCTTTCCCTGAGGCCTCTATAGCAGACGCAGGAATAATTTGTAATTGGAAATGTAACCACACCTGAGAAGTCGGTAGGGGATAGTACAGCAGAAAATCAGTGGTGACTGCTAGGAAATTGTTACAGTCCCTCCTGTAGTGGGTGAATAACAACATCTGCAGAAAAAGTAAGAACAGCTGGGAATGT